GAGACTCTGTCCCTAGAGTGCTCTGTCCCCTCCCCCCCATAGTTCTAGTGTGTGCCATGGGTCTGTCAGGGAGCTGCTGAGGCAGGGCAGAGTTAAGGTTGCATTGTGGGGAGATGTGAACCTTAACTCTGCATTTCCCCTTCTAAGACCTGTGGGGACAAGCTTCTTACCGAGTGATGTCACGTTCTCGTAGTTCTCCTGCATGACAGCTCTGTACAGGGCTCTCTGAGCGGGTTCCAGCAGAGCCCACTCTGCCCTGGTGAAATACACCGCCACCTCCTCGAAGGTCACTGGCTCCTGAAAGAGCAAGAGCCCCCTGCTCAGTGCCTGCTGCTCCACTTCTAGCCCCACCAGTCATGAAGGAAAGGAGCCAATGAAATGGGAACTCTGGTTGAACAGAGGTCTCCCTCCCCTTCATCCAATAAACACCAGGGCTGCATCTAGACTGGCCAGTTTTTCCACAAAATCAGCTGCTTTTGCAGAAAAACTTGCCAGCTGTCTACACTGGCCGCTTGAATTTCCGCAAGAACACTGACTTCCTACTGTCTGAAATCAGTGCTTCTTGCGGAAAAACTACGCTGCTCCTGTTCGGGCAAAAGTCCTTTTGCACAAAAGGGCCAGTGTAGACAGCTCAGATTTGTGTTTGCGCAAAAGCGCGTCCGTGCCAATCTAGATGCTCTTTTCCGCAAATGCTTTTAACAGAAAACTTTTCCGTTAAAAGCATTTGCGGAAAATCATGCCAGTCTAGACGTAGCCCAGGGTGAGGGAATGGAGAGCACTCCTGATCTCTACCAGCAGATCCATCCCACCCCTCCTAGCCAGAGAGTGATGCAGAGCCCAGGGAGAGCCCCCCAGGTGGAAGCCCAACACCTTTCTCGTTGTGAGGAGCTGGATATGGGGAGGGGCAGCTCCCCTAAGCCCCCCTCATGCTGCTAGGTGCCCCCTTCGTATCTCCCAGCAGCAAGCAGCTGGCCAGGCTCCAGCAAGGGGAGGAAGGGGGGGTTGTTTCTGCCTCCACAGATCAGGGCATTTCTACTTTCCAACTACATGGATCTGTTCTTAGAATCCATGCCACATATTACATAAATCCCAGCATGTTTGCCGCATACTGTCCTCCTCCCTTTGAATTTCCTGCCCCTCTCCCCCAGGTGCCAAAACAGACCCAAATATTGTTGCCAGATAGTTTCACAAAAAATACCGAACATGGCAGTATTGGTTGACCAAAAAAACCCAGAGTCACGGCCCCTTTAAATTCCCATGCTCCCCCTGCCCCTACCAGATGTAGCAGAGGGAAAATGTCCCAAGCAGCCTTCCATCCAAGAAAAAACAGAAAATAACAAACATTTTACATGTCCAGTATTTTCTGTTTTTTACCAGACAGAAGCTGTAAATACCGGTCTTTCTGGGCTAATACCAGACATCTGGCAACCCTAGACCCAAACCTTCCCACCTCCTATGTATTTGCTGCCCCTCTACCTCCCTCCTGCAGGAGCTCCCCAGCACCCCCCCCCCCCCCCCACACTACCCGGCAGGATGGGGTGGGTGGGAACAACGCATGGGTGATGTTCTGTGGCCTGGCAGGGTGAGAAGAACTGGGGAGAGTTCAGAGCTGGCCTAAGATAATTTCTTATGATTCCCACCCTTACCCTCTCTTACATTCTACCAGGCTCAGAAAATACTTGGCTAGGCCTGGCCCCCTCCCACAGGGCTGAGCACCCCGTCTCTGGTTCAGAGATGGGCTGGGTCTCAGGGCTCCCTCAAAGCAGCCCCTGAGCCCTTGCCCCATAGGCAGAATGATTCCATGCCATAATTTCCCACTGAAACCAGGAAAAATTGATACAGATAAAATGGGCAGGAAAGGAGACTTGAAATTCCCACATGAGAATTTGGCAAAAAATAGCTAAAATGAGCTGAGGGAGTCAATTTTAGGAAAAAGGGGGGCAGAGCTTCCTGGATTGTATATGTTGGTGTACTGGTAAGAATGGCTGCACTGAGTCAGACCAAAGCTCCGTCTAGCCCAGTGTCCTGTGTTCTGACAGTGGCCAAAGCCTGGTGCCCCAGAGGGAATGAACACAACAGGAAATCATCAAGTGATCCCTCCCCTGTCGCCCATTCCCAGCTCCTGCCCATCCTGGCTAACAGCCATTGAGGGGCCTAACCTCCGCGAATGTATCTAGCTCTTCCTTGAGCCCTGTTCAAATCCTGGTCTTCACAACACCCAGCGGAAACGCGAGGAAGCAGAAGGAGTTTTTCTCCGCGTTTCAGAGGCACTGCCGCCCTCCCCCACGCAGCTCCTGGGATTTCCTGGTGTACAGCTCGTGAATTCACCACTTTTCTCACTGCCCCGCCTCTCCCTCCCTCCAGCTCCGGAGCAGCTTTCCGCTCGGCCCTCCGCCGCCAGCCACACGAAGGGAAGCCGCGCCCCAACGCTGCGGGCACCCCCTGAACACCCTGGGCGCCGTTTTCTTGCGCGGGGTGGCGGGAGTCGCTGTCCGGGGTGTCTCGCTCACCGGGAGCTGACTGCGGGGTGATGCTGGGAGCGCCGGCGAAGATCGCACCCGGCCGGCCAGGGAAGAAGCTGCCAGGCCAGGATGCCTGGAGTCCCACGTGCTGCTTGGTCCGGTCTCCGGGCTTTGTTCTCCCTAAGCCCTGCCTCCGTCTTCCCAGCACCCCCCGCTCCCATCTGGACCAGGGGCCGGACAGCGGGGAGGCGCAGGATCGGTCCCGGTGGCATCAGTCCTCCCCTCCCGCAGGATCGGGCCCCGTGATCGTAGCCGGAGCAGGCTTTGCGCACGGGTGGCGCCAGGACCACAACAGGGAGAGCGCTGAATGCTGCTTGGCTCCTAGCCAGGCTGTCCCCCCCCCCCTCAAGCTGGGCATGCCCAGTTACAGAACTGTCTGCTGAAGCTGCTGCTCTGGGTGGGCATGGCCTTAAAGGCGGCAAATGGGGAGTGTGGAATTAATGGGGGAGCTGGAGAGAGGGACTGAGGGGGAGGCTGGAAATGCAAGGTGAGGGCAAAGTCCTGGCACGGGAAGGTGGGACGCAGTAAGGGGTGAGAGCCTCTTGCCCTGATTGCCAACATGGGGAAAGAAGCCAGTGTTTCCTGTAAGCTAAGCCTATGGGCAGCGCCCAAGAGAGATTCAGGGACAGTGCCACTCAGCTGATTAGCACAATGCCCACTGCTGGCAGCAGGTGTTTCTACTGGTGGTGCACATGCCTCAGTGCACATAACATTTATTCCACACATGGATTCATAAAACCCACACATGGATAGAAAAGATTAGAAGGACCATTGCTCTTGGGTTCCTTTTATGGGGCTCTTTTTCCCTTAGCCTTCAAGTTGGAAGAGGCCAAGAGCCACAAAAGTAGGAGCTTAAACCCCCAATGAATCTTGGCTTAGCCTCATACTATTGCTATTAACTTAAAAAATAACAAATGATCTGGTAGCACTTTAAAGACTAGCAAAACATGTAGATGATATCATGAGCTTCCTGGGCACAGCCCACTTCTTCAGATAACCAGAGTCTGGACATCCAACACTCTGGTCATCTGAAGAAGTGGGCTGTGCCCAGGAAGCTCATGATATCATCTACATGTTTTGCTAGTCTTTAAAGTGCTACCAGATCATTTGGATTTTTAAAGTTTATCCTGAACAGACTAACTCCGCTACCCCCAGAAAGTATTGCTATTGTTTCTCGCAAACAGTCCACCTGCCTATGGCTGTATCTACACTAAAGCCTTTTGTTAACTCAAATTACCTGAGCATACAATGGACACATTTGTAATGTGACAATCTGCTGTATATGCCGCGCAGGGTTTAGCTGATTGCCATATTTGGGGTCAGGAAGGAATTTTCCTCCAGGGTAGATTGGCAGAGGCCCTGGAGGTTTTTCACCTTCCTCTGTAGCATTGGGCACAGATCACAGCTGAAGGACTCTCTGCATGTTGGGGCTTTCAAAGTATTTGAGGGCTTCAATATCTGAGACATAGGTGAGAGGATTATTCTAAGAGGGGTGGGCGAGATTCTGTGGCCTGCACTGTGCAGGGGGTCAGACTAGATGATCATAATGGTCCCTTCTGACCTTAAAGTCTATGAGTCTATGAGAGTGGCTACTGATATTAAAGTGCTATCTGACCTAATCTGCTTCAGGGCAGGGATTGCAAATTGTACCCAGGAGCAGTTACTAGCATTTGACATTTTCAATACATGGTTATTATTCAAATATAAATTAAACGGTATGAGGACATGGAGCTGCACAGTGATAACAAAGGTAAATGATGAAGTGCTAAATTTTAAATAGTAATCAATTAAAAAGCACAAAAGTCTATTTAAAAGGGTTTACCAGGAAGGAAGAACAATTCAGGGATTCAGAGCAGCAGATAAAGACACATTTGTGAACTGCTGGAAGACTTTGTGCAGTGAGAACCAGTGACCAGGGATTCTTTATTTCCTAGGTCTGTGTATGACACTCCTGCAGCACCTCAGTAAAATATACATTGGGATGCCTGTGCCTTTTAAGAACCCAGTCCTGGAGAGCATTGCAACGACACACCGTGCTATGGGATTGGAAATTCAAACATCTCTGTCCGGCAAAATTTAAAAAATCCCGTCTGTCCCCCGGCCCCATTTTTGCAACCATTGGTGTCTCGGAGGGGGAGAAGGGGCGGCTGTGCTGGGGAGAGCCCAGGTTTTACCTCCTGGCAGAGCCTCTCCCCTGGGCTTAACCTCACATCCCCATAATTCCTGATTTTTGTCCCACAGCCCCGCTCCTAACGCTGCTTACCGCTGCCGCTGCCCCCTACTCGGACCCAGCTAACTCCTGTAATATGCTCCCTTTGCCCCTTTTGGCCTCTAAAGGAAGCAGCGGGTAGAATCTGATACCAAGTAAGGGCACGCTGCCGGGCAAATGGCTTCAGCAGATGTTTCTGAGCGTGCTCAGACAGCCCGTTCGCTCGTGATCAATGGAGAAAACCAAGTCGGGGCCGCTTTTCACGCGATCGCGCAGGCATCAGATGGGCAAGGACAAGTGAAGGCAGTGGCTTCAGAGGCGAACTGCGCATGTTCAGTCCGAGCCCTAGCGGCGCTGCAGCAGAGAGTTTGCAGCAGGCAGAGCCCGGAGAACAAAGCGCCGAGCTGGGACCTCGGAGGTGAGGGGCAGGAGTGGGAGCGGCGTTATCCTTCCCTGCGCGGGAGCGGAGGGTTGTGCTGGAATTGGGGGGAAGCTTCAACTCCCTCCCACCGCCGCCCTCCTCAAAGGGCGCCCGAAAGGTGGGAGGCTCGCGGTGGGGGCGCGGGGAGCTCCGCCAGCCCTTGTCACCTGCCTGGTGAGTCTGTCTCTTTTGGGGGGTTTTCTGAGGCACAGCCACACTCCGGGCACATCCCATTGTCCTGGCACAGCCGAACCCTGACCTTGCTTTAAGCTGTGACCTGCCTACCGAATGTGGTGGTCCTATCTACCGCTTACTGTTTTGGAAGAGTTCTTGGACAGACAAAGCCAGATAAACTCTTTGAAATACATGGTAGAAATTAACAAGCAATCTCACCCTTCATCCAATAGTTGCATAAGGATAGAAAATGTTTGTGTATTTCTTCTTTTCTCTTGATTTGTAACCCACTGATAAAAAATTCACTGTCAGTACCTATTGTTGACTACTGGAATAAACTCCCTCGCATAGGCTGCGTCTAGATTGGCATGATTTTCCGGAAATGCTTTTAACAGAAAAGTGTTCCGTTAAAAGCATTTTCGGAATAGAGCGTCTAGATTGGGACGGACTCTTTTCTGCAAAAGCACTTTTTGTGGAAAAGCGTCCGTGCCAATCTAGACATGCTTTTCCACAAAAAAGCCCCGATCGCCATTTTCGCGATCGGGGCTTTTTTGCGGAAAACAAATCTGAGCTGTCTACACTGGCCCTTTTGCGCAAAAGCTTTGCACAAAAGGGACTTTTGCCTGAACGGGAGCAGAATAGTATTTCTGCAAGAAGCACTGATTTTTTTACAGTAGGAAGTCAGTGCTTTTGCGGAAATTCAAGAGGCCAGTGTAGACAGCTGGCAAGTTTTTCCGGAAAAGCGGCTGATTTTCCGGAAAAACTGGCCAGTCTAGACACAGCCATGGAGTCATAGGGCTGGCAGAGACCTCAGGAGGTCATCGAATCCAGGCCCCTACCCAAAGCAGGACCAACCCTAGATAATTCAACCCATCCAGGACTTTGCCAGGCTGGAACTTAGAAACTTCTAGGGATGGAGATGGAGATTCTGCCACCTCTTTAGGTAATCCATTCTAATGCTTCTAGTGAAGCATCCTTCTAATGAAATAGTTTTTCCTAATATTCAACCTAGACCTCTCTCACTGCAACTTGAGCCCATTGCTCCTTGTTCTGACATCTGTCACCTCTGAGAACAGCCTCTCTCCTTCCTCTTTGGAATCTCGCTTCAGGTGGTTAAAGGCTGCTATCAAATCCCCCCTCACTCTTCTCTTCTGCAGACTAAACAAGCCCAAATCCCTCAGCCTCTTCTCGTATGTCATGTGCTCCAGCCCCTGAATCATTTTCATTGCCACTTTTTGGAAAATGTTTCCACTTTTTCTTTTTGAGACCAGTGCCTTAAAATGTTCCAGATTGCCACCCTTCTCTCTTTAACGACTTACCCATGAGATCAGTTGTCAGGTTTTTCTTTTTTCCACTTAGTGATCAAATGTAAAAGCACATGGGGCAGGGAGTGTTCCCATAGTCAGTTGCAGCAAGTTCTGCTTTGCCTGGAGCTGCTCCCTATCCTGGCAGATGCAGGGGACTTAAGGATCTAATTTCCCTGCACAGACTCGTTCCTTTTCTCCTTTCATCTCCTTTAAAATGTTTGCTGATGATCATGACTTGCTCCATCTTCTGCTATATATTTTAGACCAGTGGTCTCCAACCTTTTTATACCAAGATCACTTTTTAAATGACAGAACAAGCCAAGATCTACTGCCCTGCCCCTTCCTTGAAGCCCCGCCCTCCTCCCCATCACTTGCTATCCCCAACCCTTATACTGCTGCTTTTTTTTCTTTCAATTTTTCTGTAGGAAGAGGTTTTTCCAACATTTGGCCTGTCTAGACTGGACCAAATGTCTGGAAAAACCCCTTCTTTTGGAAGCCCCTTTATTCCTTGTGGAAAGAGGAATATAGGTGTGACCGAAAGAGCATGTTTGCTCTTCCACTAAAAAAAGTGAAAGAACAAATGCATCCCTGGATGCAGAAGAGTTTTTCTGGGATATCTCTGGAATCCTGATAAACTCCTGGGCTGTCTACACACAGGCCACTTATTCCGGAAAATCAGCTGCTTTTCCGGAATAACTTGCCAGCTGTCTACACTGACCCCTTGAATTTCTGGAAAAGCACTGACGATCTACTGTAAAATCATCAGTGCTTTTCCAGAAAAACTATGCTGCTCCTGTTTGGCCAAAGTCCTTTTCCGGAAAACTGTTCCAGAAAAGGGCAAGTGTAGACAGCACAGCTTTCTTTTCCGCAAAAAAGCCCCGATCGTGAAAATGACGATCGGGGCTTTTTTCCAGAAAAGCACGTCTACATTGGCACGGACGCTTTTCCGGGAAAAGTGCTTTTCTGGAAAAGCATCCTGCCAATGTAGACGCGCTTTTTCCAGAAATACTTATAACGGAAAACTGTTGCGTTTTAAGCATTTCTGGAAAAGGATGCCAGTGTAGATGTAGCCTTGGGGAGAGGGCTGGAGGCAGGCAGAGGTGTCTCCCTGCAGCAGATGTAGACACGTCTCTGTATTAATCATTCTCTCATTGAAGTTTTAGCTTTGTAGCGAGTCCTTTTACATGGAAACTTTGTATGATGTCTCGGTAGAATAGTCCCTAGGACAAGTGAGGCAGAGACTGGCCCTGTGGGGTGAATGAGGTGGGAATGGAGAAGGCGGAAGGTGAGCACCTCAGGGCAGTTGCAAGGGTTGGAGAGGGGATGGAAGCCAGATCCAAGATCAATGAGCCCTGGGCAGTGGGCCCACTGAAAGGAGACTGGACCTGTGGATGCCTTGGGGGTTTGCAGCAAGGGCCTGCTTTGGGAAGCCCCCTCTGGAGGTGAATGTGGCAGCATTGAGACACCACCCAGAAGCTGGCGCCACAGACACTAACTGCAGGTGCATGGGAGGGCTCTCACGGATCTTGCACATGCATAAGATGATAGATCTGCAGGAGGGGGGGCAGTGGCGTAGCGAGGGGGCCAGAGGGGCAGTTGCCCCTGGGCACCATGCTAGGGAGGCTCCAATGTAACCCCATTCTGCTCCCCCCATTATCCCTTCAGCTCACATGCTCCTACTCCGCCTGGCACCGGCAGCTGGAGCCTCCTCCCTTCCTCTCTGCTCCAAGCCCGACCCTCCTCCATCTCCACCGGCGGGTTAGTGCATGCGGGAGCCCGGGGGTGGGGGAAGATGCGGTACAAGTTCCCCTCAGCTGTGCACCAGGTTCGGGGCTGTGCCACATGGAGGTGGGGGAGAGGGGGGTGCACATTTTTCCTTTGCCCCCGGGCGCATAACACCCTCGCTACGCCTGTCTCTGAGCTCTTTTTCCTTCCCCCATGGAGCAGGGAAGCCCGTGCATGCACCCCCTTGGGGCCAACCTCCCCCCTTGTGGAATAGGGAAGCCCCCGTCACATGCCCCCTCTGGGCCTGACTTCCCCTCCCGTGGAGCAGGGAAGCCCGTGCATGCGCCGCCTCGGGGCTGACCCCCTCCCCCACAGAGGAAGGAAGCCCCGTTGCGCGCCTCCCCCTGGGACTCCTCCCCCATCTCCTGCAGAGGAGAGAAACTCCGGTGCGTGCCGCCTCTGGGGAGTCCTAACCCCTCTTCCTTCCCCCCCCCCCGGAGGGAAGCCCCAGCATGTCCCTGGAGCACCACAGACCTGGAGGACGGCAGCAAGCAGCGCACTTCCGGAAACCCCGGAAGTGGCGTGCAGCTGCCGGACTTCCGTCCACCCTGCGGGAAGCTGTCCTCCCTGCATTGTCGCTGGAGGTAGGTAGTGGGGCATCTTGGGGGTGGGGAATGTTGGGGGGCCCTGAACACCTCGTGATTGACTGGTTGAGCCCTCCTGATCGACCAGTCAATCGTGATTGATGGGTTGGTGACCACAGTTTTAGAGAGTTTTGTCTGTCAGTTTGTCTCTCTGGGGTTTGTCTCTGTTGCCAATTATGTGCCAGTTGCCAGGCATGAAAATTAAATTTTGTACCTCTTCCTTTGCTGTGCTTTCTCTTGTTAATAGAGCATCCTCAGGGCTACCCCCACTGTGTGAAAAACTGTTGGGCTAGCTGTGACTTTATATCCATTTGTCAAATACTGACATGAAACCATCACCGAATATGGCTCCTTTCTCCCTTTCAAAAGTGCAGCAACTCCAGGTTTTGGAGGGAAAGCTATGGCTGTGACTTCTCTCTCCTCCTGAGTAGAGAGGAGGGAGGAGGAAAGGACTCTGGTGTCCCTGGTTAGTCCACAGTAGGGTTGCCAGATAGTTTCACAAAAAATATTGAATACCCCCTCCCAAAAAAAAGCCATGAGAAAATTTGGTTGAGCAAAAACAAAACCAAAAAAATGCTGCAGGAAAAGTTTTTGAGCAAATAAAAAAAGGGGGGGAGGCAGGGGACCAGAGTTGAAATGCAGGCCTTTAATTCCTGGGCTGCTCAGCATGTCCCAAGCTGGGCCTTGAGAAAAAACATTTTAGATGCCCAGTATGTTCTGAATTTTTTTACCGGACGGAAGACACAAATACTGGACACCTGGCAACCCTAATCCAGAGTCACTGAGAGGAAGAACAGGGAGTGACTCCAGATGAACATGCGGGCAAAGGAGCTCAGGCTCTGTCCTTCTGGTGGTGGTGGGGAGGGGCAGTTGTCTTGGAAGAGGGGAAGCTCTCAGCCTCACTCTGTTTTCCCCTCTTCTCAGGAGTTTGGGGTGGAGCTTTCTGGGTCAGATGTTGCTGTTTCCCTTGTGGTCTGGGAGCCCAGGCTGAGCAGTGGCTGCTTCCCCAGCAGGGTCTGTGCTTGGAGGAGAATCTGAGTGAAGCTTCGCTTGTGCCCAGCCAAGGTGAGGACCCTCCATTGTAAATACCCCATGGGCCAGCCCTGGGCTCTGCCTGCTTCCATCTGAGCCAGAGATTCCAGGGGATTGAGAGAGACCTCAGGGAGCATGCTGGATGGGCCGGAGAGTGACTCTGCACAAACAGCTCCTTCCCACCACCCATCTCTCCTTCCCGGAGCCATTGCAGGAGCTGATCCAGCCACAGGAGATCAAACACCCAGGAGTGATTTTCTGTCACCTGGAGAGGGAGGGTCCAGGGAAGGGAGGCACAAGGAGGAAAAGGAGAAAGATGCTGGAATGGGTAGTGGGAGAAATAAGTGGGGAGAGAGATTCCCAGATCTCACCTGCCTGTGCACACTTACTGCAGCACTCCTGGGCAGATTCACTTTCCTGTGGGTGAAGTGAGGAGCAGGAAGCGGAAAAGCTAATTCCTGACTCTCCTGTGCCCCTATGGTGGGAGTGTGTGGCCCTGGGTCGGTTCAAAATGGTTCGTGGTTCAGTGCTGGTGCGAGGGCCTGGGTCCATGCTATAATAAAGAGAACAAACGTTTCCCCGGAATAGAACCAGAGAAGTGCAGGGCTGAAATGAACCGTGAGAGGTCATATGGTCCAGCCCCAGCACTGAAGTGTTTGTCCAGCCTGTCCTTAAATACTGCTAGTGACAGCGATTCTACACCCTCTCTCAGTAGCCAATTCCAGTCTGCACTAGCCTTTGTCACATGGCAGAGTCAGTCAATTTGTGATCCACTGTAACCTCAGAACCTTTGGAGCAGTGCTGTCCCCTTGCCAGGCAATCCCCAGTTTGCAGTTGTGCATTTGATTTTCCTTCCCCAAGTGTAGTACTTTGCACTTATCTTTGAACAAGATTAAATTTAACATTCAGATCAATTCTCTGATTTAGACAGGCCATTTTGAATTCTAATCCTGTTCCCCAGCATGCTTGCAACTCCCCTAGCTGGGCGTCATCTGGAAAATAAGCTTGTTCTTCACTCCATCATCTGAGCCATGAATGGAGATATGGAGTAGTACCAACTTGAGGACTGGCTTCTGTGGGATTGCATTAGGTACCGCCTCCCAGTTTGTCAGCAAACCATTAATACAGTTGGACTTCCCTTGTCCCACACCCACGGGACCTAACTGGTCTCAAAGGAGGGAGTTTGCTGGGCCAGTGCTTTCTCAGGGGACCTCCAGCTTCCTGGTCTGGCTTCCAGGTTCCCCACTGAGCTGCCAGCCTTGCTGTCAGACCTGGCCAGTGGGCTCCTGGCCACCAGCCTGGCTCCTGGCTGATGACCCAGCTCCGCCCCTAGCCTGGCTGCATTCCCAGGTGTCAGGGCTCTCTGGTCCAGCAATATCTGAAGTCTGGCAGGCCCATGGATGTTGCTGGACCAGAGAGGTTCAACTGTAATTGCTCTCTGAGTACATCCTTTCTAGTATACCACATTTCCGTACTTTGCTTATGAGTTTCCTTAGTTTGCTTATGGGATCTCCTATGTCAAACGCCTGAGTCAAATTAAGATCTATGAAGTCTACAGTGTACTTCAGATCCAGAAGACCAGGACCCCTGTGAAAGCAGCAAATTAGATTGGTTTGGCCTGATTTGTATTTGATTCTCCACATTGGCTGTAACTTCCTGCTTTACTGTCCTCAAGGGGCTCAGAAATGGATTGTTTAATATAACTTTCTTTCAGGATATCTAAGTCAGTTTGTCTGGTCTTTATGCCCCAGGTCTTCGTCATTCCCTTTTTTTAAAGTAGTTCTTATGTTTGCCATTCTCCAAGCTTCTGCGACTCCACCAGTCTCAAGAAGTTGTCCAAGATAGCTGATACTTTTGCCAAGATAGTTTCTGCTCATTTTTTGTGTACTTTAGGACAAACTTAGAATCATAGAATACTAGGACTGGAAGGGACCTCGAGAGGTCATCGAGTCCAGTCCCCTGCCCTCATGGCAGGACCAAATAGACATTTATCTAACCTACTCTTAACCCAGCTGACTTTATTAGATGTGGCTTATGTCAATATTTTTTCAACATGTTATTTCCCTCTTGTGGTTTCTGTTCCTTCTCCCTCTTGGTTAAGAATAATTATTTTAAGTATCTGGTCACAATTATGAGTTTTTTAGTGAATGCCAAAAGGCATTAAACACCTTCCCGTTGTTGGTGTCATTTACTATTATTAGCTCTTCCTCCCTGGGAAATAGGGGACCTACACTTTACTTCACCTGTCTTTGTTCCTCATGGATTTGTAGAAACCTTTGTAGAAATCTTTTTGTCACTTTCGAGGCATAACTCATTTTGTGTCCTGACGTGTGTGCTATTTTTTTAATTCCTCTGAAGCAATTTGTCCATGATTCAGCTTTTTGAAGGATTTAGGGGTGTAAAATGATACCCGGTTAGCATTAGGCTTACTGGAATGCTTTCCAAGTAAGGGGTTAGACAGCTAACTGTGCCAGGTGGGAGAAGCCCTGAGTGAGTCCAGCCAGCCATGTGGGGGCAGCAGGCAGGGCTGCGCTTGCGCCAGGTCCCGACTTGGATATGCTGGAGCAGCCCAGATAGTTATGCAGGACCCCGGCCACGATAGAGTGTCCAGAGCGGGTGGTGGTACCGCAGCCCCCGGCAGTGTCAGGGAAGCCGGAAGGGACTCCAGCCCGGGCCATGCTGAAGCAGTCAGGCGGGACCCTGACTATGCTGGGGCAGGCGGGTGGGGCCCTGGCCCATCGGGCAGGACCTGCCTATCAGTGGTTAACTGGTTAAACAGTATGCTTTTATCCATTGAACTGGTTAACTATTTTAATGGTTATTTACATCAATAGTAGGATTCCTTTTTATTGTGTGGTCATGAAGGAGTTTATGGTAGAACCATATTGGCCACTTACTGTTCTTTTTGTCTTTCCTTCACACTATGACTAAACTTTTGGGTGAATGCCATCTGGTCCTGGTGACTTATTACTGTTAAGTTTTCAGTTTGTTCTAAAACCTTCTCTAATGACATCTCACTCTGGGATAATTTCTCAGATTTGTTGCCTAAAAAGAAAGGCTCAGGTTTGGGAATCTTCCCAATATCCTCAGCCATGAAGAATGAAGCAAAGAATTCATTTAGCTTTTCTGCAATGACTTTATCATCTTTGAGTGCTCCTTTAGCATCATGATTGTCTGTGCAGGGCAAGAATCTGGGGGAGTTGTGCTGTGAAATTATTTCCGGTTCTGACATGTCCCCATTTGTCCTTTGTGCCCTACCAGGCTGCAATGTGACACACGGGTTTTGCTCCAGATCATTCCATGCTTCCAGGGCCCAGGGAAATGGCAGCCGTGAAGCCGGCAGAGGTAGGGCTTATAGGGGAGCTGCTGGTGGGTTCCTGTTGGAGGAGAAAGGGCAGTGAATACCACAGTGGGGAGGAGGCAGGGTGGAACAAACCTGCTAGGTGTTGATACTGTGAAACCCAGATCCTAGTTAAAAGGCCCCTGGGGTTGATGGGTGGCTGGGAATTCCCTGCTTTATAGAACAGGAAACAACCCCTTGAACGGTTTCCCAGCCCAGCCCCAGAGTTGAATCCTGGAGTCTGAACCTACCCGCCAGAGGCTGCAGGGACAGACAAAGGAACTCCCAGCAGTGAGGCCCAGGGACGACACTATATTCCCTCCCACCCGGCTGCTGGCAGTGGGGATGGGGTTGGAATTCCCACCAGGGAGCTGTTGCCAGACCGTGCTGGCAGTGCTGTCTCTGGCTAGTAGGCGAGTGATGAATGTGAAGAACCCTGCCCGCCCCCCCTCTGCTGGGCAGGGTCGGGGGCTCATTTTCTCCCTCACCTTGCTGCTTCCTGGCTGCTCTCATGTGAGGAGTGTGGAGGAACCAAACTGCCTGACTCCCAGAGCTTCCATGTGATTGGCTGCTTCCCCCATGAGTCGTGGGGCAGCAGGCACTGAGCGGGGGGGCTCTTGTTCTTCCAGGGGCTGGTGACCTTCAAGGAGGTGGCCGTGTATTTCACCAGGGCAGAGTGGGCTCTGCTGGACCCCGCTCAGAGAGCCCTGTACAGAGCCGTCATGCAGGAGAACTACGAGAACGTGACCTCGCTGGGTAAGGAGCCTGTCCCCACAGGTCTTAGAAGGGGAAATGCAGAGTTAAGGTTCACATCTCCAGCCCTCCACAATGCAGCCTTGACTCTGCCCTGACTCAGCAACACCCCAAAGACACACAGAGTAGCACTCACCCCTCCACAGAATGCTCTGAGAACAGAGCCAAGAGCAGTGTGGCACAAAGTCTCACAACTTCTCTTTGCTAAAGCAAAATTGGGTTAGATACTGTGTAAGGATCAAAGGCTGCCTCCCCCTGGTCTGCACTCAAACCTGAGCCTAGTGCACACAATCCATCTGCCTTCTGTAATATCACCACCCCGGTACTCTGGCACTGAGGGGTCCTTTGGAGTCAGTCCTTTCACTTACCCCTTGTTGAGCCCTGGAGACCACTGGCATGTCTGCCATAGACTCCTGAGCACCTTTTTGGGGAGAACACACCCTGGTTCACATTTAGTGATATAACCTACAACACTCAGCACAGAAATGAGGAAGTTTCATGTGTATCTCTCTTCATATCCTAGATCTTGTTTACACTTTCCAGGAGATCAGCGCTGTGGGGATCGATGTCCCAGGGGTCAATTTAGCAAGTCTAGTAAAGAATCACTAAATGGACTGCTGATAGCACTCCGTACAACACAACACACACAATGGCAGATTCTCTTAGCCCTTTCTCCTCTTCCTTATTGACCATCACATTTTCAGACTAGGAGATCTAATTAGGTCATCTACTCTCCTCTCTTCTATAATACAGACACACGGTGTCATACAGTTACCTTTATAGTGAGCTGAATACTGTGTTTTTCGAATAAGTAAACATGTTATTAGTTTTGCTGAATGATTAAAAATTAATCATGCTGTTAAACAATTAAATACCATTAATTTAAATATTTTTGTATATTTTCTACATTTTTCAAATTATTGATTTTTATATACAACACAGAATACAAAATGATCCAATGTTCTCCTTATTTTTCATTACAAATATTTGGACTGTTGAAAAGGGTATTTTTCACTTCATCTAGGAATTGTAGTGTATCTTTATTATAAAAGTTGAACTTACAAGAAAATGGCATTCAAAAACAAAACAACGTAAAATTCTAGAGCCTACAAGTCCATTCAGTCCAGCTTCTCGTTCAGCCAATTGCTCAGACAGACAAGATAAGAATAACCACACTGGATCAGACCAAAGGTCTATCTAGCCCTGTATCCTGTCTTCCAACAGTGGCCAATGCCAGGTGCACCAGAGGGAATGAACAGAACAAATGATCCATCCCATGTTGCCCATTCCTAGTCTTCGATGGACAGAAGCTAGCAACACCATTTCTACTCATCCTGGCTAATAGCCATTGATAGACCGATCCTCCATGTATTTATCTAGTTCTTTTTTGAAGCCTGATAAAGTCCTGGTCTTCACTACGTCCTCTGGCAAGGAGTTCCACGGGTTGACTATGCACTGTGTGAAGAAAAACGTCCTTTTGTTTGATTTAAACCTGCTAGCTATTAATTTCATTTGGTGGCCCCTAGTTCTTATGTGATGGGAACAAGTAAATAACATTTCCTTATTTACTTTCTCCACACCAGTCATGATTTTATAGACCTCTATCACAACCCCGCTTAGTCTCCTCTTTTCTAAGCTGAAAAGACCGTCTTTTTAATTTCTCTGCATATAGCAGCCATTTCAAACCCCTAATTACTTTTGTTGTCCTTTTCTGAACTTTATCCTAATTCCAAGATATCTTTTTTGAGATGAGGTGACCACATATGCATGTAGACTTCAAGATGTGGGAGTACCATGGGTTTAGAAAAAGGTAATAAGATGTTCTCTGTCTTCTTTTCTATCCCTTTTTTTAACGATTCCTAACATGGTTTGTTTTTTGTCTGCTCCTGTACATTGAAAACATCCACTCAGAGAACTATCCACAGTGACTCCAAGATCTCTCTTGAGTGTTAATAGCTAAATTAGTCCTCGTAATTGTATATGTATAGTGAGAATTATATATTCCAATCTGCATTACTTTGCATTTATCAACATTAAAATTCATTTGTGATTTTGTTGCCCAGTCACCTAATATTTTTTTTATTTGCAGGAGATAATGCTGCCTGCTTCTTATTTACAACTAGCCAATTAGCCCGTTATAAAATGGGATTTTCAGGTCTCTCCTCCACGTCGGTCTTTTCTCCTGAGCCTTTGGTGTCTCTCTCTCTCTTCCTCCTCCTTCTCCTCCTGCCTCCCCCTTTCTCTCTCCACTCTCCTCTGCCTTCTGCCTCTTTCGCTTCTCCCCCTCCTGCCTCTCACGCTCTCTCCACTCTCCTCTGTCTCCTTCGTGGATGCACGCTTGTCCAGGCCCTGCCCCTGAGTGTGTATGTCACCGCCCCGCCCCCCTTCGCCTCCCGCCATGGCACTCAGCTGACTTCTGTGCTGCTCAGCTGGGCCACCGCGCAGGAGCAAGAAGCGCAAGTGGCCGTTTGGGCCCCGCGCTCCCCATGCAGCACCCCCGTGCTGCATGGGGAGCACAGACCCCAAATGGCCGCCTGTGCGGCAGCCCAACTGAGCAGCACAGAAGTCAGCCGAGCGCCATGGCGGGAAGTAACAGCGCCACCCAGAGGCATTGGCCACTGTTGGCAGACAGCATACTGGTCTGAATGGATCTTTGGTCTGACCCAGTATGGCCATTCTTATGTATGTAATGGACCATGAAAGAGCTTAACCTTCCTGTGAATGTCTCAGTCCACATATGAGTAATGGCTTAGCAAGGCACACAAGATCATGTGAGGAGACCATATGACCTTTAAACTCCACTTTGTTATCTGTATATTTCCACAAACTATGTTGGCAACTTAGCTTGAAACAAAGGGTTCCCACGCTATAATAAGGCAGAGTGGGACTTAATGATTTGTTTTTACTACGTTGCCACTCAACACCTGAAAGAAGTTCTGAAAGACAAAGGATTCAGAACAGTGGAGGGGAACCCAGGTTGCCCAGTATGTGTAGTCTGTGCCTTAAAACTCTGTAAACCTGCTTGTATCGTTAGAGTGAGAAATTGATCATTCACATCCTACCTATTTAGTACATTATGCTTCATTTGCAGTGTTGTTTATTTGCTAGGTGAACTCCTTTGACCTGTTTGGTATTGCTTATGGTCATTTAACATCTGTCTTTCTATAGGTAATAATCTTGTTTTATGTCTTCTCTTAATCAGCGTGTGCTTTTAAGCAAAGTGTCTGGAAAAATCTCAGTTCTGTAAACAAAGTGTTTCATATCTTTGCTGCATCAAGGGGAAAGTGACCTTTATTAATGAGCCTGCATTATACAGACCCCTCTGCAGTACAAGATGGTATAGTACTGTGGTTATACTCCAGCAACGGTGCAAGGCTGGAGAGCTGGGAAATTGGCTGTTGTCTTCTGTCTGTCTTTGAGTGGTTTAGGTAAAGCACTCAGGTAGCTCAGCTGGGTGTGTGGTGCCACCTGCTGTTGTAATATATTGATATTGTGATATATTGATCCTCTCATGAGTGCAGGGGACTGGACTTGATGACCTTTGAAAATTTCTTCTAGTTCATCTTGGAGTGCTTACTCATGTCCATTCAATGTAGGTAAATGTGCTTGCCATTAGGTAAACCAGTGCCCAGGAGCAGCCCCCCGTCCACAGCCTACCACGAGAAGATGGCTGCCCCAGCAAGGCTAAGAGCCAGCGGCAGCCCCAGGGCTAGGGCCAGAGCTGGGAGCCTGCTGCCGATGGGGGTGGCAGCCCAGGGGCCAGGGCCAGGGCCAGGCTCTCTCTTAGTCAGTTAACCAGTTCAGCATTAAGTTAACCTAATATTTAACTGGTTAACTGATTAATCAGGATTTTACATCCCTACTTGCCACATGCACTAGTGCTGGAAAATTTTCCCTCAGCAGTATCCATAGGAGATCAGCTCCAGGAATGGTGCACAAATGCTGTTCTATATAGGGCACCGCTGGCCCCCTTCTTCAGTTCCCTCTTGCTGTCTGTGACGGTGCTTGGAACTGCTTGCTGCAGCTTAGATTGCGGTCTTTAACATTAGATCCCTTATTTAATTATAAATAGTTTACCCTATAGTTCAGGGATGGCTAATCTGTGGCTTACGAGCTGCATGAGGCTCTTAAAAGAAAAAATTGCGGCTCCTGCACCCGCACTCATGGCTCTGAGAGGGGCAGCGTGTTTCTGTCTGAAAGAGACAGAGCCGGAGTCGCGGCTAGGGTTGCCAGGTGTCCAGTTTTGAACCAGACAGTCCAGTAAACGTCCAGTATTTTTGTTGAAATCATCTGGCTACTCTAGTTGCGGCATCCCATGCAGACTTCAAAATGGCCACCTTCAAAATGGCTGCCTTACAAGGGCAATGCCTGCTCTGCTCTTACCAGGACAATGGCTGCTTTTTTCTTTTCTTTTTTTTTTTTTTCTTCTCTCGACAACTTTTTTCTTGGCTCTGTGCACTGTATCCACCACTATTTTGGCTCTTCATCTGTAATGGGCTGGCCACCCCTGCTACAATTAATAAGTAGTTGTAAATGGTTGTACTTAACAGTTAGTTCCTGTTAGGGACTTAGCCTGGGGACAGGGTGTGCCCCACTCCCCTGGCTTCAAAGCCTATGAGAAGTTGTCACAGGCTTATGCCAGGCAGCAATCCGCCTTCTGCCTTGGGGAAGCCCATATTTTGGATGAGTGTTGGATCTGCAGATCTGCCCTTGCTCCCCAGGACTTGGCACTGAGCATTAGTGCGTTGGTGTGGAGCACTCCTCGGTCAAGCTGGCACCCAAACTCCCTTCTCCCTGAGTATATCGGTGGGAACTAGATGCAGAATTCATTCTCTTCTCTCTCCCTTTTGGAGAAGAGTTTAAGAAAATTCACTCTGATTTTTTTCTTCCATTTCCAGCTATATTTCCTCATATGTTCTCCCCTTTTCCATTCCTGTTTCCGAGCTAGCAGGTGCTGGGATGGTGAGTGAGACCTCAGAACAGAATTCTCAAAAGGAAGATTACAAGGAACTGAAACCACATGGTACATTTTTACAAAGATTCAAAGGGAGTGTGTCCAGGAGTTGTGATCAGGAAGAAGCCTGTGAGAGTCAGCATATTCCAGAGAAGCAACAGGGAAACCAGCCAACACAGAAAGTTGATACATTTATTCATTATCAGGGAACTCACAAATGCCTCAAGGAAATCATGGCCCAGCAGAGAATCTCAACAGAAGGGAGAAATAATATATGCATTGAGTGTGGGAAAAAGTTCAGTAGATGTGCGCATCTTATTAGACATCAGAGAATCCACACAGGCGAGCGCCCCTATGAGTGTGGTGAGTGTGGGAAAACCTTTGCTCGGAGCTCAACCCTTATTAATCATCGGAGGATCCACACAGGAGAGAGGCCTCATCAATGTTGTAAGTGTGGGAAGACCTTCGCAGAGCGCTCTAACCTTATTAACCATCAAAGAATACATACAGGAGAGAAACCCTATGAGTGCTGTGAGTGTGGGAAAACCTTCTCACACAGCTCTCATCTTATTAGACATCAGAGAATCCACACAGGCGAGCGCCCATATGAATGCTGTGCATGCGGGAAAACATTCACAGAGCGCTCAAACCTTATTCAGCATCAGAGGATACACACAGGGGAGAGACCCTATGAATGCAGTGAGTGTGGAAAAAACTTCAGTCGGTGCTCAACCCTTATTAAACATCAGAGAATCCATAAAGGGGAGCGACCCTATGAATGCTGCCAGTGCAGGAAAACTTTCACTAGGCGCTCACACCTTATTAGACATCAGAGGATCCACACAGGAGAGAGACCCTATGAATGCTTCAAATGTGGGAAACTCTTCCGCCAGAGCTCAGCCCGACTCTGTCATCAGAGAAGCTGCAGGGGAATTAAAAGACCATGAAAACCTTGTTGAGGGCTAAGAAAATGTTTTGTTTTCCTTTGCTCATTCTCAAATATTGAATTTTAAGTTAGCACTTGTGTCACCGTGCTACTTCTGCTCCTCTAGCTGAATAATGTACTTTTCCCTTTTGTAGCACACCTTTCTTTGGAGTGAATTCCACAGGCTTTTTCATTAATGCCTTTGTGCTGTGCCATGGAAGTGAGTGTCCCTCTAAAAGGAATGCCCAGGAGTGATTTAAACTAGGTACATGAAGGTGAATCTTGAATCAATTAAGATTTTCCAAGGAGCTGGCTAGTTTGAGTTCACTGACCTGATATAAAAACTAGAGTTATGAAGCTATTACAAAATTAATCAGTTATCTGTGAGATTTTCAAAAATCATGATTGATTGCATTTTTATCACACTTAAATAATAATAGAATACCATTTATTTGTATATTACGGATGTTCAGACACCATTCCAGACAAGCCCTTCAACCCCAAATCAGAGGGCCTGGGCCAACCATAGATTTTAATTGCTGTGTAAACATACCCTTGTCAAAATCGCAGCTTTCGCATTGAATAACCATGGCCCAGTTTCCCACATGACAAGTGGGCATATCATGCTATAAGAACTTGCCACTTCCCCTGAACGGGGAGCTAGGGAAGCAATGTGGGCGGCAGATGTGGCAGCCAGGAGATTCAGCTAGGCTGGAGATTTTCTGGGACTATGCAGGGGTGGATCTAGCTGGGATCAGAGGCAGACCGACGGCGTTTGTTTCTGATTTGCAGGGGTTTTGTCAGTGGGCTGCATGCTGGCAGTGACAATGGGGTCTGGGCAGCAGCTGCTATGGGGCAAAGTGTCTCTTGGGAAAAATGAAACTGCAAACCCTCCCTGTGCTGCAGCAAAAGCCTCTTGTTTACAATTACATCTGAACCTTCTTTCATATTATTGTCCATCCCCTGTCTTGGCATTTGGAGACCTACTCACTCCCACACAGATTTTTAATTTTTCTTAATTTTCCTTGGCCTTGTACAAACATTTTCTTCATCAAAATGATCAAGGACATTTAAAATGAGAAGAACGTAGCAAAACAAAAGAAACCCCCACCAAGCTCCCCCCCAAAGACTAATTTTAAAGCAGTAAAACCCGTCCTCTGTTGGCCAGAAAACAAATGTCAGTTTCCCATGATGTACCTAAGACCTTGTCTACAGAGGTGTATACGTTGCAAAGTCACTTTTGGTGACAGAATTCCTCAGATTCAGTGACATCATAAAACCACCTCAAAAAGTGTTCTAAAGGTTTTTATCCAAAAGTTATGTCACTGAAGTGCTAGTGTAGACACCACACAGGCTTAGAGCTGTTATTGACCTCTGGAAAGCATCCCTCACTGCCTGTCCTCACTGCTCAGGTGAGCAGTTTCAACTCTGTTGCCCTGGAGCCAAGTAAACACCTTCTTCCCCTCCCCCTTTAAAGGCCCAGAGATTTTTGAAATTCTTCCTGTTTTCTCATCATGGAGTGCTTGCATTACTGAGCATGGTGGCTCCACGCAGCAAAGGCTTCCCTGCTTGGAGCACAGCACAGCTGCTGGATCTCTTTAGTATTTGTGGAGAGGAGGCGGTGCAGTCCAAGCTGCACTCCACCCATAAATATGTCAGTCCCTATGGGCATATTTCATGGAGTTTGCGGGAAAAGGACTATGATTGGTACACACAGTAGGGCACAGCAAAGGGGAAGGAGCTGAGGTAGGCTTACCAGGAGGCAAGGGAGGCAAGCTGTCGCTCCAGTGCAGTGCCGCAGACCTGCTCTTTTAATAAAGAGTTAGACGCTCTCTTCAGTGGCCATCCCACCTCCACTGCTAAGAGCCCTGTGCATACTTTGGTAGAGCTGGAGTCAACGGAAACGAAGGATGATGTCATTGATGACGAGGTGGTGGCATAAGATGATTTGGAGCCCACGGTGAGGTCACCGATTGCTGTGTGCACTAAGCAGCTATTCTCCACTCGAGTCAGTCACTCTCTGGGGAGTAAGAGGCAGGAGAGGAGACCCTGGTAAGTGGTTTTGCTTTGTGACACTTGGAGGTGGGTTGAAGGCAGAGAAATGTACAAAGCCGGCTGGGGCATATCCCCGTGCAATCAGGCAGTATGGTGGAACAAGGTGTGGCTACACATTGAGATTTCCTGAGCCTCTTCCAGAGAGATCTCTAGGAAACTTTCCTGCTGCCTACTCTGCAATCCTCTGCTTCTGCTTTGTTCCGTCCCCCGTTGAGGGACACTTTCCTGTGCCATTCTGCAATTACTTGATGCTGCCTGCTCTTTAGCTTGATTACTTAGGAATCCACAGCAATTACTTTGAGGGTTGATAGCTTGTCCCAAGATCAGGGCCAGTTTTATTTAAATTGTTATTTAGTTGGGAACTATGATGTGCACAGTTGCAACACTCACACACTAGGAACTCTTGTATATTTACAAACCTAAGTTATTACATTTAGCACTGTCACAACAAGTGTTTCCTCTAACATTTTCCATCCTTGGACGGGTTGAATTTTCTTTTGGGTGGGTTGAAATTTCTTATTGAGGTTGTATGTGGATGTACCGTGTGTTCCAGTACAAACAAAAAATCTAGGTATAAATATGTATTTTAAACAGTCCATAGGTATGGAAGACAATATATTAAAACAAGGGATAATTACCAAGGAGCAATGCTTAAGATGTTTATTTCATATGAAATCAAATAAAGAAAACTTAACACTACCCTTAGAGTACAGATGTTATCATCCTTTCTAACAACTCACACTAGTAAACACCAAAATGGGGCATCCTGCAAATAGCTATAATTAAATCAAAGACATAGCCATTAAGTAACAACCTAAAAATATGCACAACTTTCAGATGCTAAACAAATTGGAGTCAACTAGAAATAGCCATCCTCTCCTTGAAATATACAGTATTTACTGACACTGGAAAGGAGAGTAAAAGGCATTCACTCAGGCTTATGGGGAATGTTTAGGATCCATGCTATGCAAATGAAACAGAGGCCTATAAAACAGCTAAAAGTTCTGGTTTGAAACTTTCACCTGGTGTATGTCACTAACTCAAAGAGCAGAAGCCTCCAGAGCACTTGTCCAGAATCCAACTCCAATTGAAAGGCCAAACAAATTAAATAGGATCCATGGTAAAGTTCTTCCAGTTTTAACAATTAACCATGTATTACAGGAGTCGGCAATCTATGGCTCACTAAGGAGCCAATATGGCTCTTCTGGAGCTCCAACTCAGACCCCTTCCCTTCACAGTACGGAGCCAGCACTGGTGCTACAGTCTTACGGCCCCCTGGCAAGATTGGAGTGCCAGTGCCAGCTTCCTGTAGGAGGAATGTCGGGGAAATCTCGCTCCCCTGGGGTACAGAGTCCCCAGAAGAGTCCGAGGCTGGAGGTCAAAGCAGTGAGGCAGGAGAGAGGTCTAAAAGGAAAATTTTATTATGCATGCATGCAGACTGCCAGCTACAAGTGTGAAAGCAGCAGCAGCCCTGAGAGACAGTTTCAGGGATCCTTTATACAGTATGTTCAGACAGTTTAGTTGTTGATTAGTAATAGAAATGTAGCCATGTTAGTCTGGTGTAGCTGAAGCAAAATGCAGGACTATGTAGCACTTTAAAGACTAACAAGATGGTTTATTAGATGATGAGCTTTCGTGGGCCAGACCCACTTCCTCAGATCAAATAGTGGAAGAAAATAGTCACAACCATATATACCAAAGGATACAATTAAAAAAAAAAACACATATGAAAAGGACAAATCACATTTCAGAACAGAAGGGGGATGGGGGGGGGGAAGGTAAATGTCTGTGAGCTAATGATATTAGAGGTGATAATTGGGGAAGCTATCTTTGTAATGGGTAAGGTAGTTGGGGTCT